TGCGCAGTAAAAGTGTGCTTTGATACCTCTTGCAGTGCAAGCTACGCCTTTCTTAGAATTTAGGAGATTCCAAACCTTCCTCCAGGTACAGTACGAGTTTTGTGTCGTCTACTAAATCGCTTCCTACTGATCTCGAGCTTTCAATGATGCTCCAACAAGGTGGCCAGAAAGCAAAGTTCCGGTATTGGGTGTAATCCGCGAAAATCTGTGCATAAAACTCACCTTTTCGTCTAACGAGAGTTCAGTTGGTATGAGCGTCGGTAATGTTCGAACTTCGTAGTGACGCAATGACCTGCAACAGGCGTCTTTTTGAAGCAGAACTTGGTAATATATCCAACACCAAGAATCGCTTCATCTTCTCTGCTCAAATTTTCTTCATGTAACGGTAGACATTCTAGAAATAACTGCGAACAAAATATGTGTTATAGACATAATCACATTGTACACAACGTTCCTGATCATAGGACGATAGATCCATCCGATAAGTTCCGAGCGACTTTTATACCACTGCTACTGGTACTCTCGATGAGGCCACGTAAGTGCTACCGTACGCAAAAATGAGTGCGCAAAATGATGCCTACTTTGTCAAATGTTTGTCCTTGACTCTTGTTGATCGTCATACAGGAGGCAAGCCGAACGGAAATTGGAATTAGCGAAAGAATATACTATTTAGTTCTTTTGTTTATGTAAGCAAGCTGCATTCTGTGCACAAAAATAGATTTGCCATTGAATTATTTATTTAAAAATCTATTTTCAGCTATCGAAAGCAGTATGAGTCTTGTTTGAGCCGCAAAATGCGGGATAGTAAAGCCGCCGGCATGAGCTTGTGGAAGTACTCTTCGTTGTTGCATGGAAGACCATCCAAACCGTCCTCTTTAGATGGTGTATCAATTCCAATCAGTTTGACAGTTTTGCCGGGAAGCTTCTTTAGAACTTTATTGAGTTCTTCCGCATCACAATTGCGCACTGTCAATAAAGCAGCTTTCGTAAGCGCAGGCGATTCATGCAGTAGGTCAGAAGTGTAAACCCAGTAGATGATTTCTTTCTCCGAGCTCATACACATACAAGGCGGGATCACAAGGTCCCCATCTTCATGTGACTTCCCACGAACGCCTGCACGAAGCCATCGTGCGTATCCCATCTCATTATTACATAAACATAGATTTTGTTGAAGAGTCAAGGTGAGAATTTCCCCCAAAAACGATTACTTCTGCATGCAGCATCTATAGTTTCTTGGTGTGTACTGCCTTGTGTAACGGGCAGAAACTGGCACCAATCACCCCCAAAACAATAGTCACACTACCAAAGGGGACATGCGTGAGCGATGGTGCAGCAACATCGCGTAAAAGTCTATCTACGCATTCCAGAGCAAAGCCAGATTGCATGGAAATTTCATCCCAGACAATAACGTCCACAGAGTACAGCATATGACCGGTACGATGATGGCTCAACGTTTACAACTGAACAACTGTGAAGCTATTTGATGGGGGAAGGGGACATTAAGGACTATACATTGTTCTTCCACGTTTTAGCAGCGTCACCGCTATTCCTTTCGACGCTGTTGATAGTACTCATTTGCTGTTGACTTCCAGATAGGCAATCAGCGCATTAAGTGTATGAGTTTGACCACATCCGGCCTTTCCACCAATGTAGTAGAGTTTGTCAGCAATCCCTTAGGGAAGTGCAGCCGCTGCTACAATAGCGTTTACAACGGTTCTTGTTCAGCTGTCAAGGAATACGCGATGTTGTCTGTAGGCACGTCAATATCAGGGCTAACTCTTCTAAGTGCCGAGTAGCTACCGCAGTCGCGTAATAAAGCGTCTCTCACATTCTTCAATCCACAGTCTTCCAACGAGGAACCACTGCTCGTTAGAATTGATTTGATGTGATTCAGTGAAAGCATATCGAGTAGGGCTTGTCAGCCTGACTGTAATGGTGCCGAGTTCTCATCGCAATCTTGAAATCGTTCCACAAACGTAAGGGATTTGTACGATGGCAGTAAAGAAGAACTTGTGCGTATAGTCCACGTATAGCGTATGGCAGACCTATGAAGCCCTCTTCAAACAATCCTCCCATTCTGTCTCGGTGTCGATATATCCTGCCGCCTCGTAAGTGACACCGTTGACTGTGCGAAGGCGTTCGATGAACCACGAAC